TAGGGTACTTGGACCCTTAGGATGACCTAAGCCCTCCAAAAAAAGCGGCCTGAAACAGTAGGGTTTAGGGTTTAGGGTAAAGGATCGAACATAATTTGGGGGTATGACTATCTAGGGACTAATTAGGGGAGATATCATTCGTAGTGTATCTTCAGCAAGCCTAAAATAATGAATCACTACACTAGACCCCGCAGCTTAAGTCCTAAGCCACGACATCACAAACCCTGGGTGGTACTACAAAGAGAAGTGACACGTGTCCCAATAGCATGAAACTGGATTTCTAGGCTTAAAAAGGTGGGCTTAGGATGTACTTGGAGGGTCGGGGGACTTAGTAAGTAGATAATAAGCAGAGTTATAAGTATCCTAAAAGGGACCCTAATTGGGGTTATGGTACTTATAACTCTCTAAAATAACTACTCAGTAAGTCCCCCGACTCTCCAAGTAGCCAAGGGTTGAAGCGTTCAGAGTTCAGGGTGCAGAGCTTACGGTGTAAAGCTCAGGGTAAAGGGTTTAAGCTTTAAGGCTCAGGGTTTAGGGTAAAAGAGGGCTTTCTAGAAAAGCACGTACCCCCAGCGACCTGTCTATTCCATGTTAGAAGACACTCTTCCAGAATCCTTTTCAAGCCACCGGAAAGAGCTCACTTAACCTAACTGCTGCCTGACTGACTCATCATGAAGCAGACGAGCCTGTTCCGAACACTTAACCCTAAGCTAAACCCTAAACAACCTAACCGCTGCCTGCCTGACTCAGCATGAAGCTGACGAACCTGCTGCAGTGAGACTGGCGAGTCTTTCTGGGCTTAGTTTTCGTTTTAAAGTGCAGCGGTTTTCGGTTCTAGACCCAAGAGTAACCTAGGAATAAAAAGGGTGCCCTTTTTGGTTTAAAGGGGCTTATAAGGGAACCTAAACCCTAAAAAAGGGAATAAGGGCCTACTCTGGGTCCTAGGGTTAGGGTTTAGGGCTTAGGATTTGAGATGCAGAAGTCTGCCCATGGTGGGCTTACACCAAAGCGTGAAACACCCCAGAAAAACTTCCGGACGTGCGCTGGAGGGTTTTGGAAGCACCTTAGGCTTTAGGATTTGGGGTTTCGAACGTTTCTAAACCCTGAAACCGAGGACACGGAGCTAGAGAAATCCTCAAACCGCGTACCTTTCGTGTGGGACTGCAAGTGAGCCATAAGTGCGACGCGAGGACCTATGGGCCACATCCGTGTTTGCCTTTTCTTTGTGCTGCTAGTTTGGCGTCAGTGCATGCGAGATCATTGTATATATATATATATATATACATATATATATATATATATATATATACGGGTATGCATGAGGTGTGGACTTTGGCGGTGCTGCTGTGGCCGGTGGAGGCTTCGGCGGAGTCGTTGGCGCCTTGGGGGGCGTAACCGGCTGGCTGCTTTCCAAAGGCTGGTTGGCTGACTCCCCTTGCTTTCTGAAGCACATGCCCCTGCCAAATTAAAGTCGTCGCACCGTCAGGCATGTCGGCAACCTCAGCTCTGGCGCCTCTGATGGGCACTGGCAGCCATGCCTTGTAACTGGTAACTCCTCGATCCTCGCTGGCACCACGCATGCTGGTATCTGCTGCGGTCGGGACCTCCAATTGCCCCAACTGTTGTCGTCCGAATCGTCGGTGCCTGGTTTGATGATGCCGCTCGTTCTTTTGGGTGAAGCAGTAGAAGACAATGAGGAACCGCAGATAAAGGGCCTTGACCAAAAGCGGGGAAAGGAGTGCTCGCACTCACCGGCTCTTGGAGGGTCGGGGGACTTACTAAGTAGTTATTTTGTAGAGTTATAAGTACCCAATTAGGATCCCCTTCAGGGTGCTTATAACTCTACTTCTTACCTACTTACTAAGCCCCTTGACCCTCCAAGAATGGTGGGAGTAGGGCTTCTGGGTTGACAGTTGAGCTTGGAAGTATGACTTTCAATCGACACCCCAAACCCGAAAACTTCTCATGAATCCTGCAGAAATAACCGACAAGACCGTAAACAATAGTCCAAATCTAGTAACCAAAGTACAGCAGAAGCCAGAAAGTTGGCACATCATTGTCCTCATGGCCTCAAGGTGAAGTCTACGGCACACGGTGCACTAATCCTCCTCAACCTACATCGTAGGGTTTCTACAGGAGGAACTATCATTATGGCGCGGGTAAGATCCCCTGATGAGTACTTAGGACCCGTTTAGCTCGGAGCTTCACCTGCCCTGAAACAGCATAACTCAGAGATCCCAATACCCCTTAATTAAGGATTATGCCTTAAACTATAGGGGGCTTCATATTAATGATTTAAGGTATATTTCTTAGTTATGGGGTACTGGGTTCTCTGGGAAGCTCTCAGCAGCCTAGTGGGTTGTACGTAGGGAAGGCAATCTCGCTCGCCCCCCCCGGACTTTGCTGTGAAAGAAGCAAGGTTTAGGGTTTAGGGCGAATGCTTGTAGACGGTATGAGTCGAAACGGCTTTTGTGAGTAAGGCATGTAAGGCGGCTTTAGCTCTAGCATGGCAGAACGGAACTCCATGTATAGCATTCAAGATTACCCAGATGTTCTCCACTTTTCCCGCCCCCACAACTTTCGCAATAAGGTGACGAAGGAGATGTCAGAAATCGAAAAAGGAGGCACGATGAAATCAACCCCACAACAATGGCGTCTTTCTTCCACGGACCAGAACGAAGCGACCAAAGTCCACAAGGTGAAAGACTAACCAAGGAAAATAGGCTGGCTTTCTGGCTTTCAACCCAATAAGGCCGTTAAATCGTATTCTGCAAATTCAAAAAAACGCACTGTAACCAGCCCCAAACTAAACCCTAAATCCCAAACCCCAAAACCCTAACCGCACAACCCCCTAAACCCTCAACCGGCCCCCAAAAGCAACACCGCCTCAGATCCAGAGCAAAAGGCCCGCATTGCGAGAGCGCGCGAGTTCCCTGCACCGCTTCCCTGGACGGGGTCTGCATCGGTGCCGGGGTCTGAAATTCTTCAGTTTTTAGGAGTCGCGGGTCTTAGGATTCGGGTCTTAGCGTATTTAGGATTTAATTAATACTTAGGGTTTAGGTCTTAGGGCTCAGAATTTTAGGCTTAGGGTTTAGGGCATAGCTGTCGAGATGTCCTCGTTCTGATCCTGCTTAAGGGTTTTGAATTTGCACTACAAGAATTTTGAAGTTTGGGGTTCTGTAAGGGCTCCTTGACTCCGAGGGCGTTCTTCCTTTCAGTGTGAGTTCTATAACTATAACGGGCTCCGCAAGTTTTGCAGCAGGGTTAGCAAGAGATTGTATAAAGGTTTAGGGCTCAAGGTTCAGGGGTTTGGGGATCCATGGGGGTTTAAGAGTTTCCAGGGGTAAAAGGAGGGACCCTTAATAAGGACCTCTAGGTATATACCCTTCATAGAGCTATTGTACACCCATTATATAGCCCATTATAAGGTAGGGGTCCCCATTAAGGGACCCTCCTTTTCCCCTTTGAGAGTTTGAGCTTTGGGGTTTAGGGCTAGTAAAGGTGTTTCGGGTTTAAGGCTTATGATGGGGTTTTGAGGTCCCGAGTCTTGGGGTTTCGGATTTAGGGTTTAGAGCCCTCTTTACTGTTGATCATATAAAACCTGCATTACCATAGTTTAGGGTCCTTGAGGTACTGCAGGATTTATATCATCCACCGTTAGGACACCCTAGACCGAGGCAGTGCATGGCATGGTCCTGAGTAGTCAGTTGCAGGCTCTTCTTGTAGAGTAGCGGACAGTTTGGGGCTTTAGGTCTGGACAAAGCTTCAGAAAACCCAGTAAGGCAAAAGAGCAAAGACGGAGTAAATCCATTCAACATCCATTATAAGCAAGTTGATGCCGCTCGATGAATTTTGTAACACCATTCGACAAAGCAACATAATTAATGACTTGGAGACCGGCACCCACACAAAGGAACGCGGTCAATAAAGAAAATCCCTTTGCCATTTCGGACAACCTACGAAGAACACGTATCAAATCCCAACCTGCTGCCAAGCCTAAACTCTAAACCCTAAACTCTGAAGCCCAAGAAACTCAGAACCCTGACCTCTTAACCCCTGAAAACCCTAAACCCCACCCTAAACCCTAACCCCTAAAAACCCTAAACCCTACAGTAAGCCTTAAAAGCCCTAAACCCTAACCCCTAAAATCCCTAAACCCCTTTCTTTTCCTAGGCCCCGTCTTCGTTGGTCTCCGAGGAGCTCCCAGCGTTCCGCGCAGCGGCGTAGCTCGACGAGCCACTCGCAGAGCCGGGCGATGAGATCTCGGCTATAGGTTTAGGGTTTCGGATTTAGAGGTTTAGGGGTTTAGGGTTTAAGGTTTAGGGTTTAGATGAGATCTCGGCTTTGGGTTTAGGGTTGAGGATTTCGGATTAAGAGGCTTGGGGTTGAGGGTTTCGGATTTAGAGGGTTTGGGGTTGAGGGGTTTAGGGTTTAGGGGTTTAGGGGTTTAGGGGTTTGGTGGTTTAGGGTTTAGGGGTTCAGAGGTTGACGGGCTGGGTTTACCCATAGTCTCCATTGTAGTTCCTTTTGTTGGCTTACCAGTTTTATGGTTAGGATCCTATAATAGAGTAATGGGGCACAAATATACTTGGTTGGCTGCCGGACGGCCCCGAAAAATAAACGTAGGTTTGAGATGTACAAATTTGTGTGCAACATGCGAAGTGTCAAAGTAAAATCGTGTGCAACATGCAAAGAAATGTGCAAATACCTATGTGGACATGCATACTTTTGTTTACGTTTTCGGGAGGGACAGAGGGCCGCGTTCAACAAGATGTGCAACAGCAGGCGATCTTTTGTAATGGCCAGGAAAACAGCAATCATCGATGTGCAGGCGGCACCAAGACCTGCAGGCAAGGATGCTTTCAATTGCATGCATTTAACTGGTTGTAGTTAAACTACTGCAAAGGAGCGCTGGCAAGCCGATCCTTTTTTGGAGCAGCAGGGCGACTGTCGCTTCTTGCGACTGCGATGACTCTCACTTCCTGCGACTGCGACGACTGTCACTTCGTGCTGCGACTGCGACTCACGGCTGCGCTGCCGGCCTGGCCAGGGCCCACGACTCGCTGGGCCTTGTGCATCCACGAGACCAGGTCCGAGATGGAGTTGATCTCGTGTGCCTCTTCGGATGCTGCGGAAGAAGGCCGCAAAATGCTGAAACCTTCTTCACGCAGCACCCTCAGCAAATCACACAGGTCCCGATGTCGCTCCTCAAACCGGCTTGTGACCTTGGCCCTTGTGGCGGTGGATCCCTTGTCCAGTCTGATGCAGGAGCGGGGGCAGCGACAATCCGCGACCACGACACCGTAGGCGGTGGCTGCCAGAGCTGCACCAATAACCGCTGCCTCCGACTCCGACTTCCACGGAAAGCCACGCCGAATATCCTTGACGAGCACGGCCTCGCAGAGCCTCGTGGCCTGGAAAGCGTGATTTGCAGTCTTCTTGTCAGGCAACAGCTTCTTTTCGCGACATCGAGGCCACGATTCCGGCTTCATCTCCGACCCGGACAGGTTCAAGACAATGCCCACGACCTCGACTGGCGGCTGCCACAAGACCCGCGTGCGCTTCGGCTCCGGAACTGCCCAGGCCTTTCCAGTTCTCTTCAGCCGCTCCCGCTGAGAAAAGTTTTCCTGCTTCTTGGCAGCGGTATTCTGCTCATACAGCGCCAGCTTGTGGGTCCACCCCGGGTGCTTTTGCGAGGGTGCCGATGCCCAGGCATCGAACTTGCAGGATGCCTGGGTAGGGGCCACGTTGGCCACCAGCCTGGGAGCAGCTCGCTCCACCAACGTGTCGCAGGCAAGGTCCCGGTTGGCAGCCGCAGTGTTGTGGCACCCCTTTCGAAAACGACGACGAGCTCCATCGCGAGCACGACGACGACGAGCACGCTCGTCGTTTCGCCTCCAGGGCTGCACGCCACCTTTGGTGTAGGCATTGAAGCGCCTCCCATGAGATTGGACCCAAAGCTCAGCACACCGGAAGCCCAGGGGCGTGAGAGCAAAGCTGGTGACGACCTCCACAGCCGTAGCGATCTGGGGGACCTCGACATCGACACCTCCTCCACTGCTACTCACCCGCTTTGCAAACGACTCTTCAGACAGAGGAGAAAATGCGAGGAAGGTAAGGCTTTCGACCGTGTTGGTGTTCATGGGTCCACAATGTGCCTCTAATTGTTTGGTGACACAGCCAAGGGCACGTTCTGTCCTGCCAGTCCCTCCTGCGAAGGAGTTGTAGACATGCACGATGCAGCGCAGCTCGTTCGGTAGGTTACCCAAGACTGTTTGGCACAATCCCGGGTTCATCACCACACCCCAGAACGGGCGGTTGTCTTGCGACTGCGACACCGACAGCGACCCACACCCTTCCTTGACGAAGTACTCGGCAAAACCAATCAGCTGGTGCCAGGCCTTATTGACGAACTCCGGGCAGGAACTTTGATTGTATGCCTTGCACAACCTGCCAAGCTTGCGCTTTGCCTGCTCGCAGAACTGCGTGTACTCAGCAGCCCGGTTGGAGGAGGAAGACGGCGACTCAGGCTGCAACGCCGACTTCCACTGCCACAAATCGAAAACGCTGAGGTCGGTGGCGAGGCAATCGGAGAAGTCAGCATGCAGCCTGCGTAAGCACAACTTCGTCACCAGCTGTGCCGACCTGAGGGCCTCCAACACCTGGCTCTTGCCATCCGATGTCCACAAATACTTGATCTGACCCTTGCAGATCAATGGCGGTGCTTCCATCAGCGTGGTGATGGCTGTGCAAGTCGCCGTCTCCATCTGCTGCCCTGCGTGGCCACCAGCTTGCGCTTCGCCCAAAACTCGCCCCTCTAAGAACAGAAGCTCCATGCGGCTCATCCAGTCCTGCAAAACGAGAGGAGCTGTTCCGTTGTGAATCCCCGTACTTCTGATATTTCTTACATACTGAAGCTCTGTTTAAACTTATCTCTAAAGACCACCCAGCCCACTACTACTAAAAGCACTCATGCGCCCTTAAAGTAGCAAGTTGCATGTGTGAGGCAGTCTTGGACGATGCGACGGACGACCGCGGGATCACGACAATCGACATCGAATTGTCGTATGAGCCGGGCACTTTCGCATCCGAAGTCTGCACCAAGCCCGGCCAGTGCAGCATGCCGAGGGCTCATGGAATCAAGAAGAGTCTGGGCCTTCTTCTTCTTGACGGCATCGCCCTCAGCAGATACCGTCACCGCGCAAAGTAAGAGGACCGATGACAGCAAGCAGCAATACACATGATGAGGGTGCGCCGAGCTCTCGAAGCGTTGCTTGGCATAGCGGAAATGCCGCATGATCCGCTGCAGGCCTCCGCCCTGCTCGCCGCTGTCCTCGACCACGACACGTTGAGCCGCTTCCAACTCAGCTCGCCATGCTGCGGAGTTCTGAATTGATGGCACGAACGACTCCTTCGACTCCCACACGACCGCGATGTACTCGGAGAAGAGCTTCTCCCGTGCCAGTGCCTCGCCGGTTGCCCGCCGGATCAAGTGCGATGGGTCCTTGCCCAGTAGCATCAGCTTGGGAAACACTGATTGCAAGTAGCGGAAACCTTTCTGTAAACTGGCGGCCCCATCGCCCATCACCGAAAGCAGCGTAGATTTCAGCCGCTCGCAGAGGGTCTCGTCCTTCTCGCAGATATCATCAATTGCTTTGACAACGGTGTCTGCTACCTTTTGGCAATACTCGACCTCGAACCCCTCCAACGATTCCGACGACGACGGCAACTCCGACACGCAAAGCAAGCCTTGCTTGCGAATCGCCTGCGACACCGAGTCGACCTCCTCCACAACGCTGGCCTCGTAGGTGAACAGACGGTACTGCTTTCTGTCATCCAGCGTCAAGCACCATGCTTCCGCTTTGGACAGATCTCGCAGCACTTGCTCCTTCACGGCCCTGGCCATCACCAGGCACATGGCCTTGAGGCTTTTCCGCTGATCCAGCGGGCCAGCACGACCGCGACTCCCTTCCGACAAAAACGACAGCGTGCCTTGGACCTGGTCCGCGGCCGAAAACGACAGCGAGCTCTTGCAACAGCGCCAGGCATAGATCCAGTCTTTGACCTGCGGCACGTGCCCTCGCAGCAGCGATTCCTGATCTTCGAACTCAGCGCAGTCCTCCGGCAGCAGTTGGAACAGGGGCCGCTCCGGCTCCACCCAAAGCTTGAGCGCTCTTCGGTGAACTCGGGAAGCTTCGTGAGCCCGGATCACCGACGGCTGCATTGACAAGGAGGACGACAGCGACACCTCGTACCGACCAAACTTTGTGCTGAACGCAGCATAGCGGCTCTTCTTTAGTGGGCACTCGGCGGCAGCCCTGGAAGCTTCCAAAGCCAGCTTGTTGCAAACAACACAACCCATGCCTTTCCCATTGAAGCTAAGCCAGGTAAGCTTGGTTCGACCACGAGGGGTGTCGATCACGCTGAAACCACACCTTTCCGGCGCATGCAGTTTTATGACCGGTGCTACCGCTCAAAGTGCGGAGCAAATCTCCTACTGACAAAACAAAGATAATCAGATGTTGCTTGCGACTACATCCAAGGCACTCCTGCTTCCATTTCTCTCCAAAGCATCTCCACATCGACTGTGATGTGGCCCCTGGTTTGTATTTTTTGCTCTTTTGATCGACAGACTTCGCCTTGGGCTGCTTCTCGTGAACTTCTTGCCGATCTGTCTTTCCCTTGCGCTCCGCGCGCTGTGTCTCAACCCCTTTGCTGGACAGACTGTCTCTCCCGGCCGGCGCCCCATCGCCGTAAATGCCGTCCAGCTTCCCCATTTCGCACAGCAGCGATCTGTGATCATATTGAAAAAAATCCACTGGCTACCTGCGATTGAACTCTGGTCCTGGTCAAGCTAGTAGCAACCTGCTGTGTCAATACAGCACCCTCGACCGTGTTTGTGAAATGAGTGCGGATCAGTTTCATGCGGTGCAGAATCCGCTTGTTGCATCCGTGATCCCAACATCATCTTTGAACATTCGAATTACTGCGGATCACAATCTTGCGAGGGTCACAGCATGCCAACCAGGGATTCTTTCAGAAGCACGAACACCCCTCCGTGGCCTGGCATCTGCTCCAGGCCATTGTTGGCAATGTACCGCTTGCCTAGCATTCCCAATAATCGTCGTGCCAATCTTTCCATAAGAAATGGTCAATGGCAAACGATGCCAAGGCCAGTAACAGCAGCAGGTGCAGATGTACGTGTGGAGAACCATCAAACAAATGCTGGGGCACCTGGTGGATCCGCATCTCCCCAATGCCTGGATAGACAGAGACGTCTCCGAGCCCTGCCAACTGCACAGGAAGCAGCGGGAGCTTCTTCAGCTCCTGCCGCTTCCTTCATGTACCACACTGCAGCGGGAGCTTGCTCAGCTCCTGCTGCCGACACCGACACACGATTGATATGATGAGCCCACGTCGGACCCCGAGCCAGAATACCGAATCCTTTGCTAATTATTTCCACGCAAAGAGACTGGCTGTCATAGCCGCTGCGAACAGCGTCGCCCAACACTCGTACGAACAGTACCTGCACCCACCAGCCCCTCCTCCACCTACTCCACCTACTCCTACTACTCCGACAACAACAACAACTACTACTACTACAACTACTACTACTACTAGTACTGATTACTTGTGTTTCTACTGCTACTATTGCTGCTACTGCCACTGCCACTGCCACTGCCACTGCCACTGCCATCGCCATCGCTACTGCTACTGCTTTTGCTACTATTATTGCTACTGCTGCTGCAGCTGTTGCCATTGCCACCGCCACGGCCAAGGGCAGTGCCACTGCCGCTGCCGCTGCTACTACTACTACTCCCAATACTGCTGCTACTACTACTACTACTACTACTACTACTACTACTACTACTACTACACTAGTGGTACTAGTAATAGAAGGAGTAGCAGTAGTAGTAGTCGTATATAGTAGTAGAGTAGTAGTACTAGTAGTACTAGTAGTACACTAAGAGTACTAGTACTACTAGTCGTACTAGTCATAAGTCATACTAGTAGTACTAGTAGTACTAGTAGTACTAGTAGTACTAGTAGTACTAGTAGTACTAGTAGTTGGAGTACGAGTAGTGGCACTATTACTATTACTAGTACTAGTACTAGTACTAGTAGTAGTAGTAGTAATAGTTGTAGTGGTAGTGGTGGTAGTGGTAGTGGTAGTGGTGATAGTAGTAGTAGTAGTCGTCGTAGTGGTAGTAGTCCTAGTAGTACTAGTAGTAGTAGTAGTAGTAGTAGTAGTAGTAGTAGTAGTAGTAGTAGTAGTAGTAGTGGTAGTAGTAGTAGTAGTAGTGGTAGTATGAGTAGTAACAGTAGCAGCAGCAGTAGCAGTAGCCGTAGCAGTGGCACTAGTAGTAGTGGTAGTAGTAGTAGTAGTAGTAGGAGTAGTAGGAGTAGTGGTAGTAGGAGCAGCAGGAACTGTGGCGGTAGCAGTAGCAGAAGTAGTCAGTAGTAGTATCAGTAGTAGTACAGTGTAGTAGTCGTAATACTAGTAGTAGTAGTAGTAGTAGTAGTAGTAGTAGTAGTAGTGGTAGTGGTAGTGGTAGTGGTAGTGGTAGTGGTAGTGCTAGTAGTAGGAGAAGGAGTAGGGCTAGTAGTAATAGGAGTAGTGGTAGTAGCAGTAGTAGTAGTCGTAACATAGTATGTCGCCGTGTTAGCAGCAAGCAGCAGCAGTAGCAGTAGCCGCGGTGGTAGCAGTAGTAGTACTTCAACTAGGTAGGAGTGCTGCTACTAGTACAACGACGACTACTACTCCTAGAGCAAACACTGCTACTGCTACTGCTACAACTAATAGCAGCTCGACAGCTGGCAAGGCTATAACTACGACAAAATACTGGTATTCGTAGTAGTAGTAGTAGTAGTAGCAGTAGTAGTAGCAGTAGTAGTAGTCGTAGTAGTAGTGGTGGTCGTCGTAGTTGTAGTTGTAGTACGAGAAGTAGTAGAAGTAGTAGTAGTCGTAGTAGTAGTAGTAGTAGTAGGAGTGGTAGTAAGTAAGTAATTACTAGTAGCGAAAAAATACAAGTAGTAGTGGGGTTGTAGCAGAACACAGGTAGTGGTAGCAGTACTATTGCTATTGCTACTACTACTGATAGCTACTACTACTACTACTACTACAACTACAACTACTACTACTACTAATAATAATAATAATAGTACTACTGCTACACCCGTACTGCTGCTACCACTACCACTACTACTGCTACTTCTACTACTACTACTACTACGACTACTACTACTACTACTACTACTACTGCTACTACTACTACTACTACTACTACTGACCACTAGCACTACTAACCTTCTGCTCCTACTACTACTGCTGGTACTGTTACTACTAGTACGAGTATAAACACGAGTACGAGTAGTACCCACTGCCTCTACAACTGTTACTGCTACTGCTGCAACATCTACAACTACCAACAACTTTGAAAGCTACAGCAAGAACGAGGACCACTACTGCTGCTGCCAATAGTAGTACTAGTAGTAGTAGTAGTAGTAGCAGTAGTAGCAGTAGTAGCAGTAGTGGTAGTACTAGTATTACTAGTCGTAGTAGTGGTTGGAGTAGTGGTTCTAGTGGTAGTAGTAGTCGGACTTGTATAAAGTAAGAGGACTGGAACCTAGTAGTACAGTACTAGTTGCTAGCAGTCGTAGCAATCGAAATCGTTAAGTACTAGCCGCCATAGCAGTAGTACCAGCAGGAGTCGTAATAGTAGAAGTGGTAGTAGTAGTAGTAGTAGTAGTAGTAGTAGTCGTAGTAGCAGTAGTCGTAATACTAGCAGTGGTAGTAGTAGTAGTAGTAGTCGTAGTAGCAGTAATAAATGTAATAGTTGTAGTACTAGTAGTAGTAGTAGGACGAGTAGCACGCCGACTACGATTTCTACTTCTACTTGTACTGCTACGAGCGCTGGTAATACAGGTAGTAGTGGTACTATTGCCAGTATCAGTAGTTGTGGTAGCGGTAGTTGTAGTAGGCATAATATTAATGTGTAGCAGTACTGGTAGTTCTTGCTGTTGCTATAGGCGTCGTTAATATTAAGAATGACAAGTATTTCGCATTTACATTTAATTTAGCAGCAGGATTAGCAGCAGTAGGATCCTGTGGTAGCAGATGAAATGGCATGCTGGAGTAGATGGATGCGTAGTAGTGGTATTAATTATACTAAGTGCAGGAATGAGAGTAACAGTGGGAATTGGAGAAGGGCAGGAATAGGGCAGGAAAAAGAAAAGAAAAGACTAGTAGTAGTAGTAGTAGTAGTAATAATAATAGTAGCAGTAGTAGTAGTGATAGTAGTAGTAGTAGTAGTAGTGCTTCTACTAGTACAAGTACAAGTAGTTTTAAGTACTAGTACTGTAGGGCAGAAAGCAGTAGTTGTAGTAGTATTAGTAGCAATAGGATGGATATTATTAGATTAAGTGTGGTACTACTAGGGGCACTTGCAATGGTAGTAGTAGTGGTAGTAGTAGCAGCAGCAGCAGTAGTAGTAGTAGTACTAGTAGTAGTACTAGCAGTAGTACTAGTAGTACTAGTAGTACTAGTAGTACTAGTAGTGGTAACGGTAGTTGTAGTCGCTGTAGGAGTAGCAACGGTACTACCGGTATTCATCTTATCTAGTAGTAGTCGTCGTAGCAGCAGCAGTAACTTGCTTGGGTACCCCGCAGCCCAAAGCCCCAAACCCGTCAAGAGGTTCATTGCGGTGCTTTTGTTTGTTGTTAGTTAGTGGACATGTAACTGCTAGCTGTGTCAATACCGTGGCGAAGATTTGCAAGTAGTACTTGTAATAGCACGTCTAAAGTACCAGAAAGTAGCCGGACTGGTAGTAGTAATAGCAATCATGAATTAAAGTTGTAGTGCCAGTAAATTTTAAAGTACCAGTAATAGTAGTAGTAGTAGTAGCAGTAGTATTTCTCAGTAGTAGTAGTAGTAGTAGTAGTAGTAGTAGTAGTAGTAGTAGTAGTAGTATTAGTAGTAGTAGTAGTAGCAGTGATAGTCGAAATACTCGTGTAAGAGATAGTGACAGTAGCACGGGTAGTGGTGATAGTGCCAGGTAGTGGTAACCGGTAATGCTAGCAGTATTGACTTATATTGGCACTGGTACTGCTACGGCCAGCCGTGTTGGTAGTGGTAGTGCCAGCAAGTAGCAACCAGAGCACGTAGTAGTAGTAGTAGTAGTAGTAGTAGTAGCAGTAGTCGTAGTCGTCGTCGTGAAGTAAGAAGCATGTGGCGAGTGGTAAGCAGGAAAGGAAGAAGTACTACTGCCACTACTGTACCTACACTACTACTACTACTACTGCTGCTGCTGCTGCTAACTTTACTATTTTGATAACAACTGTGTTATTCCTGCTGCTGCCGGT